AAGCCAGTAGCCTCTACTCACCCATTTGGAAATTCCTTTTGAAGCCTCCGGTGTACATACACTATGAATCAAGTAGGAGGCTGCATTCAGCAGTTAAACTTTTAAAACAAAAAGACGTAACATATAAGTAAACTTTTCTCTTTTGAATGTGCTCCGAAATCTTTCTCTCGCTCTCTTTAACCTGTACTGTCCATTTTATCTCCACGATGCTTGGCCATGCATTTGATTACAGGATGAGATCGTACAATCAGGTTAAAAACAGGTAGGGGGTCTGACGGTCACTACTGTCTAACTGTAGCTTTTGATTAAAAGAACTCCCAATGTTTTGCACTGACCTTGAATTTTTAACAGCCATGCTAACACCTCTGTGAGGCTATAATCCTCACTGTAAAGAAAACCAAACTGTTCGACAGATAAAACAAAGTATTACAAAGTAAAAACCACCCAATGGTGGTACTATGAAATGTATTGGATATCTGTACCAAATTTCATGGCAATTCTTTCCAGTTTTGTCAAGACAATTTAATAAAAAAAAACTACAATGTCAGCCTCATGGTGGCCCAAGGGAAAAGTCAGGGGATCAATAGTCATTAGGATAGTTCCTCTGGAGACCATGAATTGCTGTACAATATTTTATGGTAATCTATCCAGTAGTTGAGGAAACTAAACTTCTTCCGTCCCCCGTAGTTTTGAGCTTTCTGCAGGTGTTTCTGGCTTTGGAGCTGTGGGTCTGAATCTGGGGTTTCCGGCCGCCTGCGGCCCCCATGTTCCTGCATTGACATTGACATTTAGGGGGATGTTAACCCAAAGTGTTGGAGCTGAAACAGTCTGATCTGATTTATTCTGAGTCTGGACCACACCCTCGTCTTGGTACACAATATGTGATTAAAAGATCAAAGATCCAAAATAAGGTAAATGTTTGAAGAGGTAACCAGATACTCTTTCAAACAATTTGATTTGGTTGAGTGATGATTATGATTATGATCTTTCTCACTTTTTGTACACTTAAGATTACATTTTCATGCTCAATGCTGGATTTTATAAATGAACCCTTAGGCACAGCATCAGATTTTGAGCGGTTGGAACTAAATTTAGTCCACATACTGTTGATCTTCTTTAACAGATGCATCTGTGCTCCATGAAGTTTTTTTCTCTCTATTTCCAATGGTAAACAATGTTTAAAAATTACTGCTCATTTGTTTGCTAAACTTTTGTGTCTGAGTTGAGTTTGTGTTGCCTCAACTTGTGGTCCCACTGCTCCATCTCTGAACACACAAATGCAACAAAACATTGTTCTGTATCTCCATAGCTGATAAAAATGCCTTCTCAGCTCTGGCTCAGAGGATGACAACTCAAAAGCAAATCTGTCATTTACAAAACAATTCAGCCTCCTTTTTGTCTTTCACAACAGACCTAAATCTGTCAGAGATGGTCCTCTACACACAAACACAAGACATTGCAATTACTTGTTCTGCTTGTTCTGTTTTGTTTTAAACATGTCAGAGGCCTGAACCACGAAGCATGTTCAACATTCCCAGGATATCTTTTAGTTATCTAGCTTCACTAGCCCTATACAATCACAATCAGGGTAAGCAGTTACACGAAGCTGGTTGTCAACTCAGTAAGCGAACCCAGGTTATCCCAATCCAGACATGAGCATGTTCACATAAAAAAGGCACTTTTATTCATCCTACTTTTTCCCTTCCTTCTGACAATTTAGATTTATCTATTTGTCATTTTCCTTTTTGCTTTATTTCTTTTTTTGCTAATCTGAAAGTACAAGATTACCCAGTGTTTTTCAGAAATCTGTACAAATGATGCTCACGTTCAGCCAGACAGACTATTTTGAAGCTTTATTCATTCACAAACTCTCATATCAGCTGACTCTGTGCGTTCAGTCTTTACTTCACCAGATTTATCAGATTTTGTCTTTTCAGTATGAAATCATTGCAGCCCTCCTCCACCCCATTCACCTCCTGCTCATCAGATCCATCCATCAGACCCAGTTCAAACTCAGCGGAAGTCCACTCCTCATCACATCCAGATCTTCAGCATTTCTTCCATCCCCTTATCACCACCACCTAGGGGTTCTTCACAATTGCAAATCAGCTGGCGTAGTTTCTGCTTTCAGCTGAACTTGTCAAAGGGAAATGGGTCTGAAATGCTTTGTATGAGCAATCAATATCCTCCGTGTACATGTCATATAAGAAGGGCTGCTCTGACCATTCAATATGCCTTTATTAGTAATCTTCTCTCTGATCTTTCTTGGCTTCTCTATTAACCGCTTTCACAGGACTTGTATTTAATGTATTTTTAAAAGACTTTGACCAACATATTGCAGATGTGTAACTAGACCCTAGGTCTGACACTACAAGATTTCAAATGTTGTTTGATTAATACCAGATCAGCACTTTGATATTACATGGGGCGAGTCATAGATGGATCAAGTGCAAGAAAAAATATATCACACACACTTTAAAGGGGCATGCATATTATGAATTACAAATGGTTGCCTACAGCACATTGTACATACAAATTAGACAACATATGCTACATATATTGTTCCGCTTCTATCAAATCTACCTGCCAGTTATTCCAAACTGCACTGCAAGTCAGAAGATCACTCTGTGTTCGAAACAGGCTAAGCTGCTGTCTCAGAAGGTGTCTAACAGGATAGCGAGGCATTGAGTACTGTTCGAAACGTCTCAAACTATCTCTTCCTGACGCGAAAGATTTGTTCAAACTGCCCCAGTAACGACCAGTTTTGAAGGCAGCATCACCATTGATGCCTATTACCCATAAACCAGCGCGGCTGCGGCTGCAGTAGCTTTCGAAAACTTGTCAAGATGGCCGCAAACAAGCCAAATTCGTACACAAATATGTTTTTAAAAGTTTTCATTAGTTTTCTTGCTTTGATTTTCGAAAAGCTAGCGAGAACTAAACACTGAACTATCATATTAGCCTGCGACTGTAACCAACCAAGTTTGTTGAGTATGATTTCTGAGGCATCTGTTAGCCATTTGGCTTTTCAATAGCTAGTTAGTTGATGCTAAGGCTAGCGTCTCTCTTCTGACAGCCAGAAGAGATGTAAGACGGCATGCTGCCCTAGAAGCCTGTTCAAAACCAATGTTAACATAGATGCCTTCACTTGAAAGTGATGCTGTGTATTACAGTATGCCTTCTGAGGCAGCTGTGTATTACAGTATCGAGGCAGCGAGGCAACTGCCTTCCATTTCGAACACAGCCTACACAGACTACTTGAGTGTCACAATACTATGTTTGTAATTTTTAAAGTAAAAATTTTTATGCAAATTATGAGCCAATCTCAGAACTGAACTCAAAAGTTTGTTTTCCCATTGTTAATTTTTTCAGACTGAATAGATACTGTTCTACTCTGACACCTCAGTTTTATTAGTTCTTCTAGCTAAAAGTGATAGAAGAGACAGACAGAGCAAAAAAAGGGAAAGTAACAGTAAAGAGCATGCATGCACTGCACTGAAAGTCAAACTCAAACTCATCTTGGTGAAACATGACATCAAAGGACCCCGGGGCTCTAACTGAAACACATCACAAAGCAGACTTCAAAACGCAGATGGAGGGAGGAAATGTTTCAGGCATAAGGCTGATGAAAATCAGAGGTTTGTGATTATATTACCCTGAAAACATCTCATCAGGTGTCGATCACACTCATTAGAGAAGGTACAGATACTATAATAAATTATGTCATAACTGAATGTAAAATCAGCAGCAGGCAGTTCATATCATACATGTCAGAATCAGATTGTAAGATATACACAGAGATAGAAGAAAGATTGGATGTTTACTGTCACTGTTAAGTCATATTTAAACTATTATAATAAGAGTTATTTTCCACATAATGTCAGACTAAATGTGAGTAAGAACTGGACTTATTGATCCTTCCAAGGTTTTTGGTAGTCCTTACCTCATCAGAGATGATAGCTAATGTGAAATTGCTACATCTTTCCTTAATCCCTTAAGAATTCAAGTGACACTGGCTCTTCAAAGAGCCACATATCTATCAGATGTTCAGTTAGATCACGCTGTGAGAACTTTTAATGACTTTAAGGGCTTCCTGTCAAGCAAGGACTATGAATAATGTATCATACTTATGCGTCAGTTTCACAAGTCAGTTTCTGGAAGACTGAACTTCTGCTCTAAAGAGATGAAGGTTTTAAAATTTAAAGAGGACACTTATTAATTTTAATCCAATAGATTATTGTTATCATATGATGTTACTAATAGGTGTTTTTTTCACAAGACATATTGTGTATAAAGACAGCATTTTCATATTTAGCTTGTATGTATTTGGGTTTGAAAATTTAGTTCAATCGAATTCTCTCACCCCTCCCTAGACGTGAAGTAATGGGCAACACTCCGAGATCCATGTCGTATGTTGGCCTTGCACCAAGTATAAATAGCAGAACACTGGCTCACCATAGTCAAAGTCTGTGCCTCTCACACGCAACTGCTTCTAACAATATGTCCTCACCTCATACCTAAGCGACAAAATAGGTTGATTGTCAGTGCCTCTTAAAACATATATGATTGTTGGAAAGTAACTAGTGACAGGCGTACCTGACCTTAAGTACGTTACGTAAGTCACATGACGTTAAACATGTGGTTGATCAGGTTTAGGCAACTAAACTACTTAATTACGTTTAGGAAAAGAATGTGGTTCGGGTTAAAATAACTGTTACGTAAGTCACTCAAGTAACCTTTTTTAACATAAAATAAGTCAGCATTGACTTAGTTTTGCACAGGACTCAAGCCCTGGTCTCCTGGGTGAAATTCCCATTATCGTCTGACCCAGCCACCTCATTACACAGACTTTCTTGGTCTTTATACAGTGTCACCTAACTTCTGCATTTGCTACTGTTATACGACCACTAGAGGTCATGCTCTATCAATAAACATAAATATGGTTCATAATAACCAGCTTGAACTATATAGCCGTTTATTTTGGTGAGGAGGGACTGGTTAGTATCGTTAGCAAGTCTGATCAGTGGCTTTAGACAGACGGTGTCCAACATAAAAAGGATTTACTGGCAGTACTGGCACAGAACGCATGGGCCCAATGATAACTTTGCTATATTTGGAGCTTAACAAGATATTTAGGGCTTACAAACTGTAACTGTAACCGTGATAAACAGCAGACTACAGGCAACAGACACACAGAGAGAGTGAGAGCCGGCAGCTCCAGCTACAACACAGGTACCTCACACAGTGACACTCTCAGTCACAAACTTGCTTCTAATGACTGTCAAAGCTTTATCAGACTGCAAGTCTTTCCAGCAGAGAAACGGAGAGTCTGACACTACCTTCTCATGGCGTGTTAACTTTGATTACCAGCTCTATGTCACTGTACATATTACACTGAGCAGTGATCAGTGAACTCCTCCGTGTCCCCTGACCTGCTACTAGTACTGAATGTACACATATAGTAACCGTACAGTCTATGACAATAATGGTGCTTTCAGACCAAAAGCGGAGCGAGCGTTGGGGGCGGTGAGTTTACATACAGAGTCAATGCAAAGACGCGTAGAGCCGCGATTTCGTGTCTGGAAGGGAGTGGTGCCGGCAACACAAGGTAGAAATTCGCATGATGCTGAGTCGCGATAGCCTATCAAAGTTGAGATTGTCCGTACATCACCGACAGCTTCAGAACGTTGTGTGGAGAGGGCCAGGCAGAGGGGGTGATTGAAAATCTGCTGGCCGGCTGAGAGCTACTAAACTTGGACTAGAGGAGCAGGGAGCAGCTTTCAGACAAATAAACACCCGTGGTCGGACTGGACTTTGCTCGCAACTACGCTGCTTTTGTTAAATTAGCTTTTTACGTTTTTAGTTTATAGGATTACAACGTTGATTTATCGTCACTCGAGCTTCTCAGCAGCTAGATTCAATGCACATCCAGTTCTAGTGTTGTTAGTATTGTTTGGCATTACATATTATATAAAAAAACGGACAAAACTGGACATTGCTGGGAGAAAAGAAAGCGAGGAGGTTGAGCTACCTGGTGAATTAAGAAACCATGTGTATGTAACTTTAGTCCAGCTATCGTTGTACTTTACTGTGACCAAGTTAGCATAGCATAGCCCTGATCGATCTGAACTCCATTCAGAAAACAAACATTTTAGAAGTTGTTGTCCTGCTGACAGACCTGACAAAGCATGAATTCATATGTTTAACAAAACTGCATCATACTGTAGTTATTTCGGCATCAGTTTGATCCGTTTATTGCTATTTAATCCCAGCAAAATGTTTACTTTGGGTTCATACAGCTGTAGTAATGGCAAGTTGTGTTTATTAACGTTATCGCGTTAAAATCGCCTTCTCGCGTTGTGTGTGAACACTTGCAGCGAATGTACTCACGCGAGGAAAGCGTCACAAGGCGCACAGACACAGTTAAAATAAAACCACAGTTTAAATATTTGAAACAACAAGAGAACACACCTGAAATGTTTTAGGGGGTGCAATGGAAGATTATCTGCGTATGTACAGTACATTAGGGTAACATTTAACAAAGCAAGTGAACAAACAAAGCATAAATTGGATGTGTACCAAGCACAGAGCTCACAGAACAAGCATTTGTTGGATGAAAGCACACACACATAAACAGAAACAAAGTATATTAACTGACATTTTCAATTATACATTCATGAGTACCTACACAAACGCACTCACACTCATAGTCATTAAAGGTTGTTGTTTTTATAAGCCCTTGATATTCAAATGCTGAAGAGTGAGAGTCTGCACTGATCACGATGGTCAAATACTCCACAAACACACACACTCGGTATCAGAACGGTTTATGAAAGAGAGAAAGGGCCACTGAAAGCCTAAAACTCAAACTTTAAGAGAGTGAATGGAAAGAGATAATGTGATAGTACAAGATGGCAAAAAGGCTGTGAAATAAACTGTTGATGTTGCCTTTTCCTTTTCTTCCTGTGTTCTTCCTGATCTTCAGGTGTTTATTTAAGGCAGTTTGCACCTTCACTAACACAATAACCAGATGCTGTTTACTGTGGTACTTCTCAAAATGACCTGGAGGCCTCTTTTATTCCTCCCCTTACTTTATTTTTCCCACTTTCCCTTCATGCACCCTTAAAGGGATTTTTAGCCACGCAGGCGGTTCCACTTTGGTCTAAACTGAAATATCTTAAACAACTAATAGATGGATTGCCATGAAACTTTGTACAAACATTCATGGTCCCCAGAAGATGAATCTTATTGGATTTTGTGATCGCCTAACTTTTCATCTACAACATCAAGTGTCAGAATTTTAATATGTCCAGTACTTTTTGTATGATTATGACCAAACACCTGCCAAACTACTGTCCACATCCATCGGCCTCAACTGTGTTTAGTGCTCATTAGCAAATGTCAGCATGCTAAACAGCCGCATGTTAGCATTGTCATTATGAGGATTTTAGCATTTAGCTCAAAGCACTGCTGTGGTCGAGCGTTTCAGAGCTGCTAGCATGGCTGTAGACTCTTAATCAATCTCTAAGTCACTCAGTTATACCACATGACCCATTGGCCCAGAAATTTCAGATGAGGCAATTTACAATTTGCACTTGACAGTGTAATGACTATTTACCCTCAATTTCCTCTGTTGCTTTTCGTTAGTGAATGAATTACGTCTGAGTCTGAATGTCATTAGACTCTGATTTCTGGCAATTTCTGTAATTGTGTTCTCGTGGACTTTAAAAAGTCATCAGTCACAGTCTTGTATGGTTGAGATAGCCTTCTTATGTGCAGCCAATAACTCCTCACTCATTTATTTGTAGAGATAATCAGAGAGGCCTGTAATGAACAAAAGCAAAACAATAATATTTGTAAACATTTAAAGACATAAGAGTATGATAATATTCTATAATTTATTCTACTGTTAATTATTGTTATTATCTTATAGTAGATAAATCATAACCGGCACGTTAAACAACATGCCCCCACCAGCCGCCTGCACTCTTTTAACGCAGGGCTGAATCCCTGCTTATCTCTACCAAGACCTTTAGTAATTTAACAGTGGCATAAAATGCAATTCCTTTTGGAATATGAACTTTGGTCTTATTGTCAAAATATAGAATTTGTTGCTGCTAAATCTGTCAGAAAAAGTTAATTTATATACAAGAGTGCTGGTTCTGTGTATTTTTGGGTCCTTATGTTCAAGAAAAATCATGAAACGTATATAAATGAATGGTGAATGATATAAAATTGTTTTATTGTACATACAGTAAAGTTTAATCTCTAGACATTCTTACAGAAATCTTTTTTATGTGAAAGAGATGTGTGGTTCTATCTCTGGCAAATAATAGTATTCAGGCAACCTATTGTTCAAAGTAAGAAGCTGGACATTTTCAGGGCCTTTCAAGCAGGTATCTGCATTTAGGTTTGCATAGGATTTAAACACAGAATGATGCATTTATACCACCCTATGAAATCACAAACACTGATGGGAAAACCAAAATATGAAGTCTTAGATGAGCCAGAAACTATAAATGCTGGACATCCAAGAGAGAATGAAATGAGGCTTTACACTTTGCAGTATTCCAGATAATTTCTTACACAGTTTGTGCATCAGCCTGCTCTTGAATTTCATCATCTGAATTAAGTTCATTCATAGATTTTAAGTGTGTTCATGATCAGAATATGAAAAAACTGACACTGCAGGAAACCTTCAGCATGACAGGTCATTACAAAACACTGCATGATGGTGCTTTAATAACTTTGAGTTATTGTAAATCTCTATCAGATAAAACATGCCAGAATGGATTAAGTGGATATTATGACAGCCGCTCTTGAACACCACATCAAATTATGCTGTGATGAAGGAAACTAGACAACAGCCTTCCTATTGAAAGACAGTATGCAAATAAGTAATCACACTGCAATTTTCCTGACGTAGTCCTTATACAGCTCTCTTTCTTAATTGCCAGATAAACGCAGGGACTGACAAAGACAAGGGAAGATGAACAACAAAAACAGTAAAGAGATCAATTCAATAAGAAGAACAACAAAAGAGGAAGACAAACAAGAGAAATAAGGTGGCGAGTTCCGTAACTGCTGCTCAGTTATTATAAAACTAATTATTTGCTAAATGTGAAACATTAAGCCAATTATTACACATCATGATATGTAATCATGAAAATGTTTTGTGTCATTTTACCTGGATTTTAGAGACTGTCCTCTCTTGTTTCTTTGCTCAAACACGTGTGTTCATGGCTATGAAAATAGTGTCTCAGCTGTTGTAATGTTTTTGTAACGCCATATAGTCTAGGGAGGTGGTTGTGGGTAGATGTGTGTACTGATTTTGACACCAGAGAACACTTTTTTCCTCCTCCCAAAAGTCAATGTTGGTTTCTTTTACCATAACCACAATCTTTTCCCAAGTAGCTTTAGTTACCTAATGTTAACTAAACCAAAATGTGTACGTCCCACACAGAATAGTAATCTCTTAAGGATTAGGACAACTGCACCAACTCTAGCACCCAGAAAAAACTCATTTAAAATGGCTCTCTTCAATGTGAGATCTCTGTCAAGTAAGACTTTTATCTTAAATGATTTAATCTTGTCTGCAAATCTAGATTTTATGTTTTTAACTGAATCCTGGTTGCAAATGAATGACTATAGCCAGCTAGCTGAACTGTGTCCGCCTCAATATGATTGCTTTAGTCAACCGAGGGTCAGTGGTCGTGGTGGTGGGCTACTGAGCGTGTATAGGAAAAATTTAAAATGTCATCAAGTACGCTGTGATGAATTTAACTCCTTTGAAGTTCTCACTCTTAAAGTTGGAGGGCTGCATTTCCTCTGTGGAATTAGTGATGTATTGTTTTTAGCTGTGATTTGCCTGTTACTCATGCCGCCTCACCAAGCTCCGTGTGTTGTCGCTTCTTTAATGAACAAAGTGTTTCAAAGTTTTGCACATTCTTTCAGAGCCAAAGCCAACACCTGTCTGATTCCAACACCAACAATCTGGTCGATCACTTCAATCATATCTGCTTGTCGTCACTAAATATTACTGCTCCTCTAAAGGTTAGGCCTACGTCTAAAGCTAGTAAGCAACCCTGGATAAATGACAGCATTCGCAGCCTAAAGAGGGAATGCAGGAAAGCAGAAAAAATCCAGTCTCCAAGTCCATTACCTCAGTCTGAAGGATTTATTAATGAACTACAATAACATGGTTAGGGATGCGAGAACACACTATTTTTCTG